GTGCCTTCTTCCTGCCGCCTACATCGCACTACGACGGCGGCTCCTTGGCCACCAACCCCTCGGCCACCAACTATCCTCTCTGTAAGGAGCTGCTGATCACATCCTGGTGACCACCCATCATCCATCGATACGCTTTGCACAGCAAACCCGAAAACAAAGTTCATCACGCAGGCACCTCCCTCCTAACATGGGCACCTCGCAAATGAACTGACAGATGCCTCACTGACCATCACACCATTTTCGTAATCCATGGAGGGCAACAATTGCAGGGGTTGTCCCGGACCAGACCACTTTCTCCTGGGCTGCCAATTTGGAGAACGACTCAATCACCAGCAGTGGGTTTGGACCACCACACCTACCTGACAGCCGTCCAGCGCATCGATCGTTCTCTTGTCCGTGCAAGCTCTTTGGACAATGTCATCCTGCATCTGCCGCCGCCAAATCGTCATCTCCATCCGCGACTCCTCTCAGTCAAGATAGCAACCGCGTCGTCTCCGATGCCTGCAGGGACTGACTGCTCCAATGCAATCCTCTGACAGGAGGAGCAATCGATACTATCAGTCTAAGTGCCAGAGGCACCGTCGGTCAAATCATCTCTTTCCCGTGTCCAGGTTCGCACCTAAAGCGCCATCCTTGGAGCCATGCTCTTAGGCCAATATAGACTCGCTGCTTCACCATCGGGCGTCACTGCCCTTCCTCGGTATTGCACCCTGGTAAAATACTTTAACTCAGGTGGACAACGATCAGACCTGCGATATACTACGCTGCTAGCGAGAACTCCGAACTAGTTCCCAGGTCCCGGGCACTCTGTTTTGTGGTTCCCGCAAAGCACAAAGCGAGCAGTCCACCCGTCCCCAAGTCTCCATCTGTCTCTCCTGGTTCGCCCCAAAGTCCCTGCGACGGAGGCCGAGTTCCTTCGAGTTGTAATCATGTGCGAGTGCTTTGGAGCGTGAAGTCGAGCATGACCAGTAGCATGCATGCCGCCCACAGCCTCTCGTGCCGTCCAAGGCCGTACCGTGCAGGCTACGTGCCTCGGCCTCTGCTTCCAAGCCAGGCTACACAGGACCAAGCACTTGATCCATACCAATGGCGAAAAGGTGCAGCCATCTTTGGCCCGCGGCCTGTTCTCGCCCCCCTCGCCCCCTTGGACTATCACTTCCGGATGACGGGCGGAAGATATGACGGCACATCATCCACCGTGCCGGAACGAAACTTGACGAGCACGACACGAGACCCTCCCAGGAAGATCCCCAGACGATGCAACCGAATACAACAGCGCCCCGGTAAACAGCCTGCTTTCAAGCTCAGCACGGGCTCCATCGTGGCCTGGCCTCGACATTGCATCTGCATGCGATATTATCAGCACGTACGAACGCACGCACCACAGACCAAGCACACCGCGCTTGCCAGGCCAATCGAGACTTGGTTGACTCCTTCGCGTCAAGGTCCCACTAAAGCTTCAAGCTCAGAGGTCGCCGCCGCCGCCGGTGTTTCTGCGCGTAAATTGTTTCCACACGTCTGCAGCAACAGATAGATATCGACCGCTCCAATCCCAGAAGGCTCATGTGCATAAGGCGGCATCATGTGTCGTCGCCATCATTGTCGTCGTTCGTTGTTGTTGTTGTTGTTGTCTTGGTCGTCAAAATTGGTGGCTTGATCCGAGCTTCCATGCAGCCTTCGACAGTCCTTCCACCGATGGCGTTATCTCTCAGCTACAATGTGTGGGCTCTGGACTGGCCTAACTCTGGCGCGCAGTCGCTCCCAATGCTCACCTCCTTCGGCCTCGACTCTTGTTTGGGCACTTCCGACACCCAACTCGACCGACTTTTCGTGCAGGGAACCTGCAGCTCGCCCGCCTCGTCCGCCCCCTCGACTCTCCTGGTCGATGTACCGGCCAGTGTCCCACCTTCTGGCGTCCTTCTTACAATCCTTGACCCCTCCCCCCTAATCGCTTGCAGTTGCTAGTGCTGCCATCGGTGATTATGCCATCACTGCAGATGCCAGGTATGCGCCGTGGCGGTCGCCGACAAGCTGCAGGGTCACAGGAATTGCCGCTTCCTCTGTTTCATTGTTATCACCAATGTTAACTCGTAAGGCTTTGTGTCATTGGACCGCGATGCCTTACTTTCGCATCATCTGCTCCCACACAGCTGCATGTGCGCCGACCCAAACCAAACCGAAGACACTGCTTTTGATCACGAGCCTGCAAGAAGAACCCAAGGGGCAGGCAAGACGAAGCAAATCCTCACTTTCCCTATTGGGGTGTGGCTGGCTGGCGAATGAAGACCTTCAGCTCAAGTACTTACGACCTATTTCGCTGCATT